ATAGAACGAGCTAGCATTTAACAATATGAAAAAGCTCCTCATAAGCAAGCATTTGTCTCTTCCCCTAAAACTACGTCTAGTTAAATGCTACATTTTTCTGTAGGTCTTATTGTATGGTGTGGATGACTGGACGCTGACAGAGAAGCTCACGAGAAAACTAGAAGCATTCCAAATGTAGGTGTACCGAGGCATTCTTCGTATATCCTGGACCGAACATGTCACCAACATAGAGGTAATCCAAAGAATCAGAGAAGAGAAAGAAATCGCGAGCACAATTAAACAAAAAAGCTTGAATATCTAGGCCACATATTGAGATACGATAGCGATAGCCAGGCAGGAAAAGACACTCGTGGCTCCAAAATCTGCGGAAGTGGTTAGGGCTCACATCGGTCCAACTATTCAGAAGCGCCGCAAACAAGATCAGAATTGCCATGTTAATAGCCAACGTTCGCTACAAACAGGGCACTTGAAGAAGATACAGTACAGCACTTCTATGAACAAAATAATTTTCATTCAGTACTTTAAAACGAACTCTACTATCTGTATCTAATCCATTGGTGATCTTAATCATATATTCCTCGTATGTTCTCTGAACTCTCGGTTCTCCTTAATTTCATATTAAGAACTATATAATAAGTTTCTATTGTCGCTAACTATTAAAATTCTCCTGTCTTCCTTAGAAAAATCGGTACTTGATTCCATTATTAATTTTATCAAAAATACAAAAATATTGTTATAGTTACAGAAATAGATAACATGTAAACATTTCAAACATTAGTAATTTTTATGTTTTGTGGCAAATAGATTTTGTCTAACGCCATGATCCCACACACGCATACACATACTTTTGAACTACCAGAAACATTCTGGATTTTATGAAGTAACGGATGCACTTCACCCTTCCTAACGTTCCGTTAGATTAGATACCGCCCCAGGCAAGAAACATTTTTTAAAAAGAAAATAAAAGAGATTTTTCTTTTAAAGAACGAGTCCGGTAAACTATATCCCTTGTTATCTTTTTCATCCTTTGTTATCGCCTTTCGGCCAAAACTCCTCAAGTATGCCGTAGCATACGAAATCGGAACATTTGTTATATATTACAATGTTCACAGTGTGGCGGTATTATCGTATTTTCCCCCATTCCACTATCTGTATCGTAAACACTGATATCTAATTCCTTCATTATTTTGAGAAAAGGTAAAAGAGAAAAAATAAATTTAAATATTTTTAAGGAATATTTTTATGACAAATCTTTTCGTACTGAAAACGTTTTTTTTAATATTGTTTTAAAGCAGTTTTCTTGTGGCATTTTAAAGTAATTCATATTTAAATGGGAATAAGCCACAATTAAAGCTAAAAGTTAGTTTATTGACATTTCAATTTCCACTTCGGAAATAGTTCTTGAGATTTTTGAGAATGATTCCCGAAGTGAAAATTGAACCGTCAATAAACGTACATTAACCTTTAATTGTGGCTTATTTCCATTTAAATATTAATTCCTTTGAAAATATTTTTTGGTTAATAATTTCTAGATTTTTAATTTTGTATGATATGTCATCTAGTTTGTTTTATGGGACTCATTTTTTTGTTAATATTTATATAAAAGCAATATGAAAGCTAAAGTCAGGCATAAATATTTTCGAATAAAATTGGATAAGCAATCTATTCTGCATATAAATGACTGAATTTAGACTGTTTTTTCAGTATAAATACTTGTGCTCCGGTTACAGCGAAATGTCTGAGCATTCATCTTCGATGTTCTAATATACTCTGACAAGAAATTTGGGAGGGTGACTCATAAATGTAACATGATGTACTAATTGTACAAGGTGCAGATCAAATACGCCTTTTACTAATAAGGAAAGGGCCCTTGGCGTCCATTTTAAAATTTGGTTTGGCAGCCTGTCGTCGTCCATTCTTTTCACATGACCATACCAGATCAGTTGTCTCCTTTGAATTTCGTCAATGATGGTTGACTTGACTCCCATTATATTTCTGATATGGTCATTTTGTATTCTATCAAGACTTGATTTTCTAGCTGATCTTCTCTAGAAGTCCATTTCCAATGCAAGTAGGCGTCGCTCAAGGGATTTAGTAAGTTGCCATGTTTCGCATCCATAGAGCACTATACTCTTTAACGATGGAGTTAAAGAGGAGATGCTTTCTTTGATTTGATAGTTCTTTTGACCATAGCATCGGGTTTAGGCATCCTATCACCCTGTTTTCCTTTCACGATTCTTTGCTCTATCTCTTTTTCGGTGCGCCCACTCTTGTTGATTGTTGTTCCCAAATATATATATTCCTCACAGTTCTTGATTGTTTCATGTTCGTTGACCATTAGATCTTCTACTTCATTCCCGATGCATAAGTATTGCGTTTTGTTTCTATTTACAGAGAGGCCTCATTCTTCATATGTTTTAAATAACCGTCTCGTCATGAATTCTAAATCTTCCTTGTCTGCTGACACTACTACTTGGTCGTCCGCAAAATGTAGAGTGTATAATGTTGTATCGTCGTCAAGTTGGATCCCCATTCCTGAACAGGATCTTCTCCAGTGTTTTAGTGCTTCATTTAAATAGATCTTAAATAGTATTGGAGAGAGGCAGCATCCTTGTCGTAAGCCTTTTGTTACTGGAAATTCTTCTGATAAGGTGTTGTTTAGTTTGATTTTTGATGATGCTTTATTGTATAATTGTTTGACTGCGGCGATGATCGTGCTATTTAATGGAGATCGTTCAAGAGACTGCCACAGCTTTCTCACAGGAATCGTGTCATATGCTTTTGTGAGATCCACAAATAAAAGATGTATTTTCTGGTTTCTTGCAACTTTCTTTTCATTCAGTTGTGTTAGAGTAAATATGTGGTCTACGCAAGATCTTTCAGCTCTAAATCCTGCTTGCTGTTCAATTTCATAAGGCTCGTATTCTTTTTCAATAATGTTTTTTAAGATTTTACCAAACAGCCTGCTAAAGGTACTGGTGACAGAGATACATCTGTAGTTTCCGCAAATATCTTTTGGATCTTTTTTGTGAATTGGAGTAATCCATGCTTCTTTCCAACTATTCGGAAGTTCTTCCCATTCCCATTTAAGTATCTTGTGAATAGCACTATAAGATAGCTTATTAGTTTTACTAGGCGCTGAAGATGATCCGTAGTGATCGAAAACGTTCTGCCAGAACTTTAAATGTGACGACACTTTTTAAATAGTTTTAACTTGTTTGTTTTATACCTAAATACACATTTGTGAAGTGTTTTAACTTCTGTGTTTTTTTTTAAACGATGGTATACAGCCAATTACGGGGTTTTCCCTATTAATTTTTTTATTAGTTTTGGTGTTCGGTTTTTTAGAAGTTCTGCTGGTATGTTCTTCGGCCCGGATGCTTTGTTATTCTTCATCGATTTAGGCGCTTGTTGTATTTGTTCTTCTTCCACGTTTACATATTCACCTTGTACTCGTATTCGTTAAGGTAACGTCTTCATTCAGTTCCCTTGCGTACTGATCTTTCCATGTATCTATCTGGATGGGCTGTATTCGACTTTTATTTTATGTGTCGGTTTTCAAGGTTTTTATTAATTTCCATGCCGCTGATGATCGCGCTGCACCGATGTAACAGTCAACTTCTTTACATTTTGCATCCCATGTTTCATTTTTGTTGTTCCTTGTCATATCTTTAAATATTCTTTGCTGTTCTTTGTATATTTCTTTATCTTCAAGATTCTTATTGTTCAGTCATCATTTGTACGCTCCCTGTTTTCTTATTTCTTTGCTCTTGAAGCTGTGTATTCCAAGTGATTTTTCCCGCTGATCTGTGGACTGTTCTGGTTTCTTCGCGTAGAGCTTCTTGGGCTGCGTGGTGAATACAGTCAGTTATATGTTCGTATATTTGGTTGGTTTCAGCAGTTAGGTATTCCTTGAGTAGTTTTTCATTTAATCTATTTTGGAATAAAATTTTAGTGCTATATTCTTTTAGGCTTCTGACATTATATCTCTTTACATTTATATCAGTTCCTTTTGGAGTGTTGATGTTTTCAACGTGTCGGTTAAATGGAATCAGAGTCTTAGCCGCAACCAAATAATGGTCAGATCAACATTCCGTACCCCTGTAAGCCCTAGTGTTCTAGATGTTTAATTTAGTGTTTTGTTTTGTAATGACATGGTCGATAATAGATTTTTAATAATAGATTATTTAATTACTATTTAACTGGAATAAGCCACAATTAAAGATAAAAATACGTTTATTGACGTTTCAATTTCCACTTCAAACATCGTTCTCAAAATATAAAATTTTTGTATTTTTGAGAACGATTTCCGAAGTGGAAATTGAAACGTCAATAAACGTATTTTATCTTTAATTGTGGCTTATTCCCAGTTAAATAGTAATTAATTTACAATGCCACAAGAAAATAGCTTCAGAACAATAATAGATTATTTGATTAAAATTTTAACAAAATGCATCCATAGGACTATTTTATGACCGGTCTAGTAGACCGTGTGCAACTACTGACAGACAAAACTAAATTGCGTTTACTCAAATGTTAAGTGAGATCCATTTCAATGGATTACGATTTTTACCTGTGAAGTTGTCCGATACTGATTACTGAATTACCGTCGCAGGCTGATATACTCAACCAAAAAAGAATATGAATCTGGTGATTTTTCTGTTAACTTTATTGGGTGTGCGTCTGTATTTTAAGTGTACTCCTCCTAATTTAAAAACAGGCTATTTTTCTTAAAAAATACATTGGTATTAAGTGAATTTGTTCATCCAAATACGAACCTATTTTAAATCTTAATTTAGAAAGTTTTTTAATTAAAACATATTTTCATAGTATGCAATTTTAAAAGACTCGAGCTAGACGGCCAGAATGCATGTAGTGAAATATATACTCTTTGTATAACAAAAATTTCCACATTTCCATACTACCCCAAAGAAAAATGAAATTTCAAGCAACGATCTCCAACTCCCGTTTAACGTTTTTTAAACTTTTTTACAACTTACCGAATTAATGTAGTTGATGAGACTCAGTCCACCGTCCCAGGGTTGTTCTTTGTCACACGATAAGTTCGACAGTCTAAGGGTATGCGACTGTTCAAGCGTCTGCAGTCCGACAGCGAACACGAAAACAGAATCGTATATCAAAGCGGGTTCTGCCTGCAATAAAAAACAAAATTGGCAGAGATCTAAATCACAGGCTGAACGAAAAGTTTTTGAGAGGGTGTATATATAAGCAGATAAAATTATTGCTATATGAGCCACATAAAACGGTAGGGATCTAACTCAACAAATGTTTTACACAAATTGGTGTAAAAAATATCGTATAATATTTATGTCGACAATTTTATTGGTCGCCTTTAGACAGCTGTTACTTAAATGGAATTAAACTAAAATAACATCTTTAAATTAATTGAAAATAATATGAATCCAAAAAACTTTTTAGTCTGCTCAAGAATTTCCAATAATCAAATCTTCTTAGGTTTGTTATTATTTGTTAGTAGGTTTGTTATTATTTGGTAAGTCCCTATGATCTATGTTTTATGTCTGTAGAATTTGGACTAATTTTTCATGTCTTACTTTGTCAAATGCTTTTTCAAAATCAACGTAACAAACATGCACATCAACATTCATATCCATGCATCTTTGACTAACACATTAAAAGCAAATAACGCTTCTCTGGTTCCTAGTCCGTTTCTGAACCAAAATTGACTATCATCTATTCCTTCTTCCAGTTTTTTATTTACAGGACCATGTATTATTTTCAGGAATAATTTGAGAATGTGACTTATTAGTGATATCGTTCTGTATTCACTGCAATATTTATCGTTTGTATTTTTAGGGATAGCACAAAAGGTAGAGAGTAACCATTATTTCGGTATGTGTCCTGTTTTGTACACTGAGTAATAAGTCTACTATAATGTCTAAGGTTTCATCATTCATGCATTTTAAGATTTCTATAGGGATTTGGTCTGGACCTACTGCTTTACCATTTTTGCTGTTTTTTAATGCCATTTTAATTTCCTCTTTTAATATCTTTAAAATAATATCCTCTTCTACTTCTATCTCCATCTGTTCTGTTCTATTGTCTTTGAACAGTTCATTGATGTATTCTGTCCATCTCTTTAATTTGTCGTTAGTATTCAACACAAGTTTCCCATTTGCATCTTTCAGTATTCTCCGGTTTTCCTTGTTCTATTGTTGTAGTTAATTCTTTAATTTTTTTATGTGTGTTAAAACTATCATGTCTTTTCTGGTATTCTTTATTTCTGCCATTGTTCTTTTAACCATTGTTCTTTCGCTTTCTTAATTCTGTATTTTATTTGTTTATCCACTTTTTTGTACATCTGATTATCTTTGTTCTTATATTGACGTCTTTCTTCCATTAAATCTAAAATTTCTTTCGTCATCCATTGCTTCTTTTTATATCTGGTTGGTATTAGAATTTCTTTTTGACTTTTATCTATTTCTGTCTTTATTAATAACCATTTTTTCTCCGTCTCAGTATTTTGCAGAATTTGTTCTTTAACATTCATTAATCCGTTGTTGATTTCATCTGCCAGGCGTTGCCTTATGAGTGGGTTCCTTAATTTACTTGTATCGATTTTTGCATTTGTTGTTCTTCGTTTTATTATTTTCATTTTGAGCCTAATTTTGGTCACTACTGGGTTGTGATCTGATCCTATGTCGGCACTTGGATAGGTTTTTGCGGATATAATTGCGTTCCTGTATCTTTGTCTAACTAATACATAGTCTATTTGGTTTCTTACAATTCTCTCTTCTTGATCTGCTGGTGACTTCCAGGTATATAGTCTTCTCTTTGGCATTTTGAACAATGTATTAGCTATAACAAAATTATTGTTTTGGCAAAATTCGATAAGCCTGTCACCCCTTTCGTTTCTGTTGCCCAGACCATATCCTCCTGTACATTCTTCTACTTTTTCTTCCCCAACCTTTGCGTTAAAGTCTTCATTATAATTGTTACATCTTGCGTTTTAATACATGTTAAAATGTTGTCTAGGTCTTCGTAGAAAGTTTCAATATCGCTCTCTGGTTTGTCTGTAGTTGGAGCATAAACTTGTAGGCTGTTTATTTTGGGTTTGTTCTGGTTTAATGGTAAGAGTATAACTCTGTTGAAGTATGGAGTGAAATTTATTACAGCTTTGTCATTGTTTTTGTATAATATTATTCCGACACCATATATGTGTGAACCGTCTTGACTTCCTGATTAATATATTGTTTTATTGTTGATTTTTACCTTTCCTGAGCCGGACCAATGGAATAATTAAATGGAAACAGTTAAATGTTTCGGACTGTTAACGGACATTAAATGAAAAACCATTTCAAAGGAGACTAGTAATCTATTATCATCTAATGTTTACCTGTCTATCCCACATAAGACTCTTGAACATGAACTAGAACAACAACTGCCTGAATACACACACAATTTCTAATTTCAATAAACGAAAGTGAGGCTATATGGTTTGCAAAAACTAAGAGCATAGGTACATACCCAGATGTTAGTATCAAACATCAGACTATCCGATACCAATATCAAATAAAATATTTGGTGTAACTTACACAGAAAATTTAAATTAGAACCCACATATTGACATTAAAAGTGAAGCCAGTAAAGGAATCAATGTAATGAGATTGTTCTGTAGAGTTTGGTGAGGCGAAGACCCCACAAAATTGCTTATGGCCTATTGTGGATTAGTAAGATCTCATCTTGACCTTGGTAGCATTTTTAAAGCCATCAAGCAAGCAAACCCTACAAAAACTAGAAACCTACAATATCAAGCACGAAGGCTAATTCTAGGATGCAAAAAGTCAATCCCTACTACAGCCCTGTTAGCAGAAACAAGGGAGATGTCCCTAGAATTTAGAAGGAGATGGCTAGGAACAAAATTCATGTCAAAAATTTATAGCTACCAAAAGCATCCACTGTTGTAGTTAACAGTTGAAGTAAACCAGGCATGTAATCACAACTTTGGTTACTGAAGACAGAAAGAGCGTTCATACTTAGTAGAAGCATTAGATTATATAAAACCATATAAAAAAAACAGTAAACAGAACAGATGTGATAGCTGACTTTATATAAAATTATGATACCTTTTATGGTCAGATCCCCATAATTTAATTAAATATCAATAAAACAGGTATCAATAAAAACACAATATTTAAAATAGTAACTGAGAAATTGTCTAGAAAATATATTTTTGTTTACACTGATGCATCACCGGTATTTTCTTAGGTTTCCAAAGTAGATTTATTAAATTTACTTGTTTTCTTTGTGACTGAGATAGCAGAGTTAACCAATTACTATAACAGTGAAATTCTTCTTATTGCGCTATCTCCTTTCTAAGGTTGGCCATCCAAATGGCAATTTATAGCTTTGGAAGCTGCTACACGAAAGATTTTTGTGAATGAGCGGTCAAATTATCTCTTCAGGTGTTTTAGTCACAAGTTCTGGCATTTTACAAATTATCTTTTACCCCAAACTTTACCTTCCAATAGGATTTGGAGTAATTCATGTCTTTCACCTCATATCACATGACTCAAGTATTGTATTTTTCTTTCTTTAATTATGCTGTGTAATTATTTTTGTTTACTCATTCGACGAAGTACCACCACCTGGTAACTTTTTGTATCCACAGAATTCTCAGTTGACACCAGGCTACTAAACACCCTCACTAAATCCCAAGCAAATTCTGCTTCTATCTCTACCTATTGAAATGTGATTATTAAAACAATTTGTGAAAGCGATAAATCAGGATAAACCATGTTTCCATTATTTGGATTATAAGTTTTCTAAGATACCGTCTAAGAAAATAAAAGCTAAAATTTTTGTGATTTCTCAAATTTGCCAACTAATGAGCGACCCTTGACTTTAAACGGTACATGGCTACAGGGCAAAAATTCATGAAGAAGCTTCAAATCACTTGTTAACGGTTTATCTTGGAAACCAAAAAAATCTCCATTACAAAAGTTTTGTTAGGAAGTTGTCAAAATCCAGGGGTAGAGGTTTTATCAATACATTAAAATAATGAAGTAACGTTGTTCGAGGCTGGTGAAATATTGCTATGATGGCTGAATACCTCTTGAACCTTAAAGAAAAACTGAAATAATATAATAATTTGTGTAATGGTTGTAGAGAAATAAAATAGAGTTAGTTATTACTTTGTAACAAATGATTTTTTTATTCTCTTTGTCCTAATATTTTCATAAAATTAAGCATACAAACAGCCACTGTAGCAGACCTGTCTTTTTGTAACAAAATTAGATGACGATTTGTAAAAAATCTCTACGTGAGATTAAAAATAAAAACGGAAAACAAGTTTTAAAATACCTTACACTTCTCAGTCATAGATTAATTGTTTAAATCACTGTGTAATCAGCCAATATTTATTTTGACGAAAGCAAAAATTCCGCTCCATCAATAAAACTATCCGCATGCAATATAATATGTCTCTTTACTTCAGTATGGGTAAGTTTTTATGGATATTCTCGTCCTGCTTTATCCATTTTATTCCAGCTTAAGCAAAAATCAACGTTTCTTCTATATAAACAAAATAAAGTGTTCTTTTTTTTAATTATTATAGTTATCAACTTGATAATTCTTTTGTGACTGACACTAAACTCTTTCACACAAGACTTTTCTATTGTTTTCCATTTTAAAACTAAACCCAATCTGTTAAAAACTCTCCAGAGACTGACCTAAGAAATATCAATATGGTATTGACATACCCTGGCCTTTAATTTTTTAACACTGTCCTCTACAAAAACATGTTCCTCCCTTTTCATGCATTTAATATATAATATCTTAAATTGCAAACTTATTTGTAGTTAGAATGTGGTTTAGGTTTATATTGTGGGACCTCTCGTTCACTATTTACTTTTTTATTTTATTCAAAACTGACGCTATTTGGGAGTATCTTTAAAGTAGGTTAATCACTGTAGCAACATTCTAGGTAACCTGGTAATCTGGTTGTTGTATTTGCAAATATTTTGCAGGTAAATATAAAATAAAAAAAAAGTTTTCAAAAATCTTAATCATTTTATAACCTTTTTAATTAACATGGAACACGGTCTTTATTGTTGAAAAAAAATGTACTGCTGGAATTGCTGAAAAATCAGCATTTCCTAGTAAAAGCTTCAGT